TCAATCTAATACGTCGCGGGCTTGTTCACGCTCCGATTCCCCGGTATTTTGGGAAGCGGGGCGTGACATAATCAAGACACCCGCTGAGCTCAGATGACCTTTCTTCCAGTCGCCAGCTGCCATCTGTGAAAGAATGAATGGCTAGATTGGTCAGCCTATCTTTCCTTTATCCTTATCCGTCAAACCTGGAACATTATCGAGGCACCTCCTATACTCGAGTGCCCCGCCCTCCAGTCATCAACAGCCATCTGTCGAGATAAAGATGACTCAGCACCTGGCCATACTCTTAGCCATGCGCCATCTAATCAATCCTGGGGACTCATCGAGATCATCTCGAAACAATATCCTCTCTAGTTGCCAGCCGACACGTAAAGGAATTATTGCTGACTCAGCCTCCAACTCATCCCCCACCGTCATCCACAGACCCCTGATGAAGCCACGTGCCTATCTTCGATAGCCTATAAAGAGGGAGGCATTTGAGCCAGAGCAGGAGAGGGCGAAAAAACTCAGGTTCTTCGAAAAAACTTAGAAGTTACCCTTATTCTTCAAGTTGTTTCTGAATAATTCTAAAGCGAGAATGTACCCTGCATGGACCTCACTGGCCCAGGGACTCTCCCTAAAACCTCCCTCAAGTTCATCCTCTAACTTAACCGTCGAAGATACCACGGGGGAATCACGCCCCGTACCCCGACGTTCCTTGTGTGTGCAGGCCATCGGTCCACCCCGTGCGCTTAGAACTCGACATAAAGTCAGAGGGGGAGTCGGCTCCTTCATCCTTCATCATCCTCCCTTGGAAGACAACCTCCCACCTATTGGTTGTGTGATTATAAACATCAACAGTTTGACGTCCACCGTGGGGCACACTCTCTTCTCTGAGAAGAAATGCCCTATTCTGAGTAGGGGCCCGATGCAGTTTATCCTTACACTACTGGAATCGCATCACTCAAGCTAAGCGAAGCCTGAAATTGCATCATTCAAGCTAAGGAGGAATAGCCTATGGCTATGAGAAGCCAGAAGTAGGCATAGCCCTCCAGGGCTCCGACAGCTTTCTGGGGAGTATTTGCCAAGTAGAACCTCGAAAGCCCTCCTGAAGAAGATGCAGTATAAAAGTGCTCGTCTGTCTTGAACATGAAACGTAGGCTTCCCACAGTCGCCATAGATACGAACTTCATCTTCTGAACAGCTCAGAAGCCTGGAGTTGGATCATAAAAAGAGCCCTTCCTCCACCAAGGGTTATGATCAGATCCAGAATGGCACAAGCTCGACCCCACGCCAGTCCAGGGGTCCCAGGAGCAGCCATCAAATCTGTGGCGAGCCATCCGGACCATCACCGCCTTCACAGAAGAAGTGGAGACTGTTGGTATATGCTCATGCATGTACCAATTTTTTTAACAATTTCAACCTGAAATTAGGAATATAAGTTTTTTATAATTGGGATCATAATTAGATCAACCCATATGATCTGTGATTAGATGGATAAAGTCTGGATCTTATTTAATCTGGGTGCTCGATAGATTTAAGGTTTATTTTCACTTTGGCACCCCAGAATTTATTCATTTTTCCACTTTGGTACCCTCAAGTATTATTTTGAAGACTTTGATGCCCCCAGAGTTGTAATTCCATTTCACAATTGATTTTCTTGGTTACATTTCGTTAGATGTTTTGTTAAATTTGTGTAACATTTGGATCTATTTTAGCCAATGGCTTGAGATCCAGACAACCAAATGTTAGGATAAAAAGTGCAAACCATTTGATATAAATTTAGCACGAAATCTAATGAAATTTGGACGAAGGTATCAAAGTGAAATATGACTGAAATGTTGGAGAATCAAAGTGTTTGGATATAATGCATACTATCATTTATTTGGGAATGATCTTGTGAGTTAGTGTTTAGTTTCTAAGTCTCCAAGTTATTTGCTCCTTCAGATCCTCAGTATTTTGCTTTTGAAAGAGAAAACCCTAGAATTCACATCGACATGACCACTGGCCAGCTAATTGAAGTCAACCCGCCTGAACTCAGATTCCCATGTAATTTCCCCTTCCACTTTATTAATTCCATCAATTTTAGGGTTTTAATCTTCGTTTAATATTGTGTTTTTTTCATGGTTTGATCAGTTGAATTAGAGAAGGAGATCTCTTGTTCTATTCTGTTATCCAACAAAACCGATGACCACATTGCTTTTAAGGTATAATTCTCATTCTTTTTCTTTCGTTTGATTCATAAAAGATTGTCAGCAAATTTAATAAAGATTTGATTTTTGGGTTTTTTTTTTAGGTTATGACAAGTAGCCGGGATTGCATAATTTGGCCTAACAGAGATATCCTCTTGCCACGATCCACATGCAAAGTCGAAGGTACTCCTTTTGCAATTGTGAATAAGTTTACTTCTTTCTTATTATACTCTCCTTTTGGTGTAGTTGGATTATTTAAGTTTATTTTTGGGTTATAGTTACGAAGTTTGAGCAAAGTGAAGCACCACCTGACATGCAATGCGAAGACTTATTTGTTATTAAGAGCATCGTCACCTTCCCAGGAGCTACTAGGGATGACCTTAGACCTGAGACGGTAAACCCTTTAATTAAATAATATAGCTATAAATTTGTTTTAATTTGGGTCTATCATGCAGTATATGTTTTGGAAACTGAAGTAATTAGACACTTAGTGAAGGTGTATTTGTTTGTTTATTTTGATTTAGGAGGACTTTTATGTTCTTTGGTCATTTTGAATTAGGATTGTGAATTAAATTGTCTAGTTATTAATTATAGTTGTGTTTAATGCAAATTTTGGTTTCAAGTGGTTTACTAATTGTGAGAGATCATGCCATACCCGACTCTCGATCTTAACTAGGGTACATGCGTGACAGTATATATTTTTACTAAAACTGACACAAATATGCATGAAAGGATATAATTTTACTAAAACTGACACATAATACGAACTATAAGAAGTGGGTGAATGGACCTAAGGAGGTTACATACACTTTCTTTGGGCAATAAAATTTGGGATTCATTGATGAAAATATAATTTGGCGGTTTATCGATATTAGTCCATTAAATCTTTAATAATTTGATTTTTGTTTCTCAAGTCTTCATATTTTGATATTGGTCCTTCAAATCTTCATATTATGTTGATGCTAGTCCCTATGGTTAGTTAGGGTTATGAATTAGGTAGAGATGTTAAATGGGTGGGTATGGGTTTAAATGGGCGGACCATAAATGGGCGGGCATGTTTTGCCCATTTACCCATTTATGGCCCATTTAACATTATTTAAATGGGCGGGTTTTTGCCCGCCCATTTAATAAACGGGTCGCCCATTTGCCCATTTAACTATAGTACATATATATGTATAATACTTTTGGGGTGTTTTTTGTAAACTTTTAGGAGGTTTTTTTGTAAACTATTGTGGGTTTTTTGCAAACTTTTTGGGAGCTTTTTGCAAACTTGTTGGGGCTTTTGATAAAATACTAACAAAGATAGAAATATAAACAAAGATAAACAAATGCAGACAAATTCATGATTGAACCATTTACAAGCCTGGATAAAAGTACAGACCTCACACATTTGCAAAATTAACCTCAAATTTCCAAACCAAAAACCAAAAGATCAATAACAACAAAATTGCGAGTATATTTAAATGAATTAAGATAGAAAACACAAGGTATGCAAGGATCTGTATAAGATCAATAACTTGATATAAACGCCATCATAACTATCAGCAACACGATCACGATTAGTAAGGACAATCTACTTAATTACTTGATAAACTAGAAGAGTAGTAAGTTCGTCTATAAACAAAATAGTAGCACAACCATAGTCTACTTATTTCCCATCTTTCAAATGTTCAGGCATGAACAGGATCATGACAGAAGAAAGAAAAGACCAGGAAACAAAGATCAAAAGGGAGGGATTTATGGCCCATTCAGCAGCTTCAGCAACTTCAGCAGCAGCAGCAGCAGCAACAATCAGTTAACCAGTATATGCCAGAGTTGGAGCAATTTTTGAAACTTCAGTTAGAGGAGCAACATCATCTTCAACAGCTACAGCAGCAACAAGAATTGCATCAGCAACAACAGCAACTTCAGCTCCAAATGCAACTAAAAATCATGAAACTTTACTTGGTTAATTGTTCAATTTTCGAACATTTGCTGCAGCAGCAGTTGAATGACCCAAATATTCCCTTTTCAGATAAATAATGAAATATCAGAACACAGCAGGAGAGACACCAACTAAACGGTCTTGGTAAGCCTCCTGCTGCCTGATATGAGAACTACTATACATTCTCCAATTGCATCCCCTCCCCCTTCTTCTGTAAGGTATTAAAATATACCGAATATACTCGTATTCATACACAAGTGATACAGGAATAAAAATCCCAAAATCTTTCCAAAAATAATAAATAACATCAGTACAGCTTGCTGAACTGAGGAGTCTGTAAGCTTTCTCCCAATCTAGGAAAAAAACCCTCCCTTTCAAAAACAAGATGCAAAGAAGTCACGACCTTCACCACTGATGCCCACACAAAGGGAGCACAAAAGAAAGCATAGCCAAACACTGACAATGCCCTAACCACACCATTAGTATACCAAGGACAAGCCATCACAAACAACGAACCAACTATCGCAATCCAACACACGCATCTACAGAATTTCTATATAATAAAGGTTGTGCCATATTATGCAAATTTACTGAAGCTCCAGTAGCCAAGGCGGATGTTAGCGCTTCACCTTTACCTCCAAAAGCAATTGTAAGTTTCCTTTT